CCGTTGCTTGGAAGCCGTGATCCTGTCTTGTACGCTGGTGCGGGCACGAAATAATGTCGTGTCCGCTCGCCAGGGCGTCGTGCAGGTGATCTTCTACGAGTCCCACCGCGCATCGAGTGTGGTAGTGACATCCACAGGGCGGAGACATGGCACCCCCCTGACCTATTGATTCGTGACAAACTCCGCAGAGATGGCGAGGTGCGTGCGTTTGACTCGCCTCCCGTGCGGTCGAGCGAGTCACGTCCCTCTCCGATCTCGCTGCTCGAAAAGCCTCAGAAACTACGTCGTTCCCGTGCTGCTGTTCCAAGCTGGTACTCGTCTCTGAGATGGTGGACCCTATACGGCACATGGGACAGTGGAGGGTATCGCCCACTTCCCGCACGCATGCCCTCGCATAGCAGCCCACACACATCGCATGACCGCAGCCAACGAGGTTCACATACGGTTCGCTGACATCCCCTAAACAGATGCCACACACCATTGGTTCAGTAAGCGCTGCCGCCGTTTCCGCGGTGACCGAAGAAGGCGTGTGTTCCGGCGAGGCCGGCGCTGTAATTGGAGACGTGTCCCGAGGCTGGGCGACTGCCCGTGGCTCTGGCGAATGCGACGAACACTGTTCCCGCCGGGGGGGACGCTCCTCTGACTGCAGCTGCTGCGATGGCGTCGACCGCTCGGGGGGCAGTGCAGTCGGGCGACCGGTTGGCTGGGCTAGATCGCTGGTATCCGTCTGGGCCAGGGACTGCGGGGCAACTCGGTCGTCGTGATGAGTTTCGGGGGAACTGCCCCCCTCCGAAGGAAGAGAGGGCCCTGACTGCGGTTGACTTGGTGTCATGAGGGCAATCGGGACGGCGGGCAACGTGGGGAGCAGGTCTGCGACTTCCCCAACTGCAGCACTTGCTACGTCCGTTCTTCGGCCCGAGGGAGGAGCAGAGTCTCCCCGGCGTGCCTCGGGAGGTGTGTCCCCGGTGTCTGCCTCGGGGGATGTCTCCCCCGGGTCTGCCCCCGGCAAATCCCCTTCCTAGGCGTGGCCTCCTCGTGGCCTACTTCCTTCGAGGGGCCGACTTCGTGCGCACGGTGGTTCTGCTGGCGCTGCATTAGCGTTCGGGAAAGGGTCGAGGCCCAGTCTTGGTGCGCGGTCGGTGACGCCTTGTGCGCTTGCTGATGGTTGGACAGGGAGGGCGGCAGATACCTGACGCCCGACCACGGCGCTGGTGCGCGACCGAGTTCTCGTCGAGATGCGGCCCTCGTTGGCAAACCCCTGGTCCCGAGTTCCGTCGACGCCCTCGTCCGAGCGCCTCGTCGCTGCCAGCCGAGCAGATGGGAGGGTGGGTTGGTCTGCCGGGCTCCGTCCCTCCCAGACCGTGGTTTTCCCTCGTGCTCAAGGTAGGATTTTGATTTGGTACCGTTCCAGGTAAGCTATAATATACAGTAGTTTAGTTTTTGGCGGGAGCTGGGCTCAATGTGCCGGGAGATTCGTTTCGGTTGTTCGTGCGGCCGTCAGATTTTCTCGGCGATCGGCCTGGGCTTACAACATCGTTCCGCGTATGCAGCAGCACGAGCCGGCGCTCTAGGCTGCATGGCATGTTGCGATCTTTCCAGGTTCACTCGGAGCCGGTAGCACCACACGCGGTGTACTCTGTCGATCTTTCGCGCATCGGTCCGCTTTAGACACACACGTAATCCGCGCTCGGTGTGGCCGCAAGGCCCAAGACCCGGGGCTGATGCTCGCCGCTGCGGGGGGTGTCATGGTCACAACGCCTCGCGTCATTCGATGGGGTTTCCACTAGGCTGCCATTGGTACACAGACCGCAACAGTTATGCGCCTTTCCCCGCATGGAAAACATGGCCTCTCCCAAGTGATGGAAACTGCTACAGCAACTCCGGCAAATTCATCAACTTGTGCCGGTGGTACTTCAAACTGGCCCTGCTAAGGGCCTTGGTGAGGAGGTCCGCGTGTTGCTCCGTTGTCGGAACGAACTTGACCGAAATATCCCCCGACCTAATCAATCCGCCGATGAAATGAAATCTCACGTCGATGTTTCGTGCGACCTGAGCTGAGGGGGTTCTGCACCAACGCTATGGCCCCCTGGTTGTCCTCAAGGACCTTGATGCTGCTACCACTGGTCTCTGGGGCAACAAACGAAAGCACAGCACGCACAAACAACGCCTCCTTGACGCCCTCCCCAGCAGCAATGTACTCGGCTTCCGTCGAAGACAAAGACACNAAACTCAATCCGCCGATGAAATGAAATCTCACGTCGATGTTTCGTGCGACCTGAGCTGAGGGGGTTCTGCACCAACGCTATGGCCCCCTGGTTGTCCTCAAGGACCTTGATGCTGCTACCACTGGTCTCTGGGGCGACAAACGAAAGCACAGCACGCACAAACAACGCCTCCTTGACACCCTCCCCGGCAGCAATGTACTCGGCTTCCGTCGAAGACAAAGACACGATACTCTGCGTCTTGCTACCATGGCTGACTACGGTACCTCCAACCGTCGTCGCCAACCCTGCCACAGAACGCCTATCCTCCGTGTCGGCGTAGCTAGCGTCTACGTACACGGCCAGCCCTAACCCCGATCCCCGTTGGTAGGTGATGCCGAGGTCCCTCGTCCCTTTCAGGTAGCCGAGGATCTTCTGTATGGCATCCCAGTGCCGCTTCGCCGGGGCGTGGGCGTGGCGCGCTACCGCACGCACGGCGAACGAGACGTCTGGACGCGAGAACGTCGACACCCACACCATGCTGCCGATGGCCTCCCTCGCCGGCCACTCCTCTCCCTTCTCGTCATCTCGCTTCGGTCCTAGGTCGACACCAGAGGAAGCAGGGATGTGGGAGGTCGATTGTACATCACAAAGCGTTTCACCATGCTATCAATGTACGCGGTTTGGGATATTCTAAGAGTCCCAGCCTCTACATCTCTCTCAATGGCACATCCATCAAACCATTCGCATTCTCCAAGATTTTTGGTGGGAAATTTCTTGTTGAGAGAAGCAAGCAACTCCTCGCAATCCTCGTCAGACCCAGCCACCAAAATGTCATCCACATAAATCACGATAATCATCACCACGACTTCGTCTACCATCTTGCGGAAAACACACGGGTCCGCCTTGCATTGCTCGAACCCGTTCTCGACTAGCGTATCAGCAGCGTGGTACCCCCACTGCCTACCGCTCTGCTTCAGACCATAAATCGCACGCTCAGCCTTAGCAATCTTATGCGACTTGTCCCCGCACCCAGCGGGGAGCTTCAGAAAAACCTCCTCGTCTAGCGTAGCGTGTGTATACGCCTGCTTCACATCCCAGTGATTGAGGTTCATGCCCTTCTCGTTCGCTACCGCAAGCATCAGCTTAATGGATGCGGATGAGGGGCAAGGGGAAGACGAATGGAAATAATCGACGTTCGGGATTTGCGAAAACCCCCTAGCAACCAGACGCGCTTTGAACGTGTCTATCTTCCCTTCCTTGTTGGTCTTCCAACTAAAACACCACTTTGAGCTCACAGGCCTGCGCCCCTCTGGCGCACCGTCTACGAATGAAAACGTCCCCGTGCCCAAGTGCCCTTCAAACTCTTCCCTCATGGCCTGTTCCAACCGCTCTCTGTACACAGACTTGGCAACGCCAGCTACGGTCATGGGGGGAGGTTCTACATCACTCGGACGCTTGCCGATGGGGAATTCAGTTGGCTCGTGGGACGCCAGAGCCGTCTCGAAGGCGTCTGGCGAGTTGAGCATGAGGTCCACCGTACCCAGCAGGAAATCCTCCGCCTCTTGGCGCGCAGCGTGGGCCTCCTGCGCGCGCTCGGACAGCAACTCTCGCACCACCCTCGCCTCTAGCCCCTCCGCCACGTGAAGTACTGCCGAGAGCATCCAGCGGGTGAACTCCTCCGTGCTGCTGTCGGGCAGGCTCGCCACCGAGGCGAGCAGGGCTTCGGCACTTGTCGGCGACGGGGCCGATGTGGGCGGCGACGGGGGCGACTCGTACCTCGGATTTCGGCGAGGGTTCTCCCTAGTGCGGCGGCTGGTGAGTTCCGCCGGCTTGTCGAAGCGGGCGAGCCGCCGGGCCTCTGGCCCACAGAGCGCCGGGAGATCCGTCTCGCTGTCGCTGCCACTGCTGCTGTCGCTGCCGCCGTCATCGACGCTGCTGCCACCGCTGCTGCTGTCGCTGCCACTGCCGCCGCTACCGCGGCTACTGCTGTCGCCGCCGCTGCCGCCGCTGCCGCCGCTACCGCGGCTGCTGCTGCTGCGGCGGTCGTCCTCGCCGCCGCCCACATCGGCCATGCCGGTCGACGTGGTAGATGGGGCGACGCTCGCGCCCTCCCTGCTCGAGGGGGCGCCATAACCAGCGTCGCCCGCGCCCGACTCCTGGGGCGCGGCCGGCGGCGGCGGCGGCGTTACGCGCGCGGGCGGCCTCGCGGGCCCCGGGGCTGCCGTCGTGCCATGGTTGAATCCTGGTCCTCCATCCACAGGTTCTCCCTTTGTCCTTCCTCCACCTTGGCTCGACGCGCCCTCCCCAACCTCGTCCTGTTCAGTCACGAATTCCTCTTCCTCCTCGGCGATGGGAGGCAGCGATGCTCGGGTCGACGTCTCGTGGGGGATGGGCTTGGAAAGCGCCTTCGCCGTCGAGTACCCCAGGCACTCCCGGAGCTCGGCCACCAGCGTCGTCCCCTGCTGCTTCGCTGTGGTCCTCAGCAGCACCTCGTGGAAGTGGCCGTGCGCTCAGTGGAAATCGTTGATGTCAACGGGGGTGCTGGACGCTTTCGCTTTGCCAGGAGCAATTGCGTCATAGGCATGTTGGGTGTCTGTGCGGAAACCATTTTGGGCGTATAGGTCACCGCATCGGGCGGGTTTACACCGACTTCCCCTCCTCGTTCTCCAACTCCAACTCATATTTGTCTAGGGTTTTGGTTTTGAACCCGTCGTCGAAGAGGGACGTCAGATAGACTAGGTTGTAAATCTAGTCGGGGAACGTGTGCAACCCGTTCAAACAACAGATCGGTTGTGCCGTCGCGCGAGCTAAGGGTGACCGTTACGTCGCCGTGCCCTAAAATAGGGAAGTGAAGTTTTCTCCGGCCGCAACGCGCACACGTCTATCACACTCCTGATATCGGACGAACCCATTTGAGTTTGGGAACATGTGGGTGGTAGCGCCGGTATCGGCAATATACCTACCCCGCCTAGCCTGCTCTACACCCCCTCGACCAACGCCTTTGTNGCCGCCGCCGCCGCCGCCACCCTTGCGGCGGCGGCCGTTGCCGCGGCCCGGCGCTCCTCCCCCACCGCTACCGTCGCTTGCGAGGAGAACGTGCTCCGCCCTCCGCTGGCCCTTCGAGGCCTTCCTCCCCTCCGGAAGGCTCGCGTGCACCGTGCTCACGATTCTGACGATTTCGGCGCTATCCAGCGCCGTTGCTGTCTTCAACAGGAACTCCGCTTGTTGGTACTCGGATGGGAGGGAACCAACGAAGTGGGTGAGTACAAAGGGTGCGTCAGCGTCGAGCCCTATTTCGCGTAGGCGTGAGTACAGCAGCTCGAGCGAGTGCAGGTGCTCGATGGGGTGTCTGCTGCTGTGTGTGGGGATCGTGCAGTTGAACATTTCCTTCATGAGGACTTGTTTCGAGCCCTGCGATTCCGGATCGTAGATTTTGTCGAGTTCCGCGAGGATCTCTTCTGCGGTCTCGCATTTGTNATTGGAGGCGGTACAGCTCCGAGCTTGGCACGTTTGGGTTGCCGACAGGTGCATGTCTCTCGTTGTTGCCGATCAATTGGCCGTCCAGTCCTACAGTGTTGGCCGCTTGGATAAGCGACTTTCTCCACGAGTCATACCCATGGCCGCGACGCTCACCTTCGAGACGCGGGGCATCGACTGTTACTCTCTTCATGTGGCTTCTGCTGTAGCCGTCGAGGAATGCTCCATTTCCTCGAATCACGGGTATCTCACCTGGGGGGTTTAACCCCTTCGCTTCCCCTAGTCCGGCCCTATGCCCGGGCCCACTCCGGCTGGTCCAACAGGGTTCGCTCCCGATCTGCTGGCCCAGCCGCCTTCCAGCAGCGACCGTGGTCCTTGCCCACTATCTCT